AGAGGGACCCTTAAGGGGGACCTGGGGGACAGGGGATCTGCGGTGGCGGAGAGGGACAGCCCTCGGGGGGGACTTGGGGACAGTGGGACCTGTGGGGGGACAGGGACGTTTCAGAGGGGAAGGGGAGAGCCCTCAGAGGGATTTGGGGGACGGCGACCTGTGGGGCGGACAGGGAGAGCCCTCAGAGGGACCTGAGGAACAGGGGGACCTGAGGCCTGCGGTGGGGGAGAGGGACAGTCCTCAGGGGGACCTGCAGGGGACAGGGACAGCTTACAGGGGGATCTAAGGGGGACCTGGGGCAACGGGGGGGACAGTGACTTCCCTCAGAGGGACTTGGGGGACAGGAGGACCTGGAGGGGACAGGGACATCCCTCAGAGGGACCTGAGGAACAGGGGGACCCCTAAGGGGTGACCTGGGAGACTGGGGTCCTGTGGTGGGGGAGAGGGATGGCCCTCGGGGGGGACCTGGGGACAGGGGAGCCCTTTAGGGGGGCCTTCAGGGGACAGGGACAGCTCACAGGGGGACAGGGACATCCCTCAGAGGGATCTGAGGGACAGGGAGACCCTTCAAGGGGGACCTGGGGGGAACAGGGGCATCCCTCAGAGGGACCTGGGTGACTGGGGGTCCCTTCGGGGGGGCACAGGGAGGAGGGATGGACATGGACAACCCTCAGGGAAACTTGAGGGACACTGTGACACCCTCCAGGACGCCAGTGCTCCCATAGACACTCCTTCAGAGGGGACTTGGGGGCACGGGCCACGTTGGCCTCCAAGGGCTGGGGACACCCCTGCCCACCAGCTGTCACCTGCCCCTGCCATGGTTGGGGGTGTGTGTGTCTGTGTCACAGTCTCTCCAGCCGGAGCGTGGCTTGGGGGACAACCCACTGCGCTCTGTCCCCACAGACGTCGCCTACTTGCGCTCTGTCCTGCCCGCCAGCACAGAGGACGCCTTCTTCGATTACCTGGCCACCCTGGATGCCTCGGAGGTGACAGTGTCCGCCGTGCCGGAGGGCTCCGTCGTCTTCGCCAGGGTGGGACACATGCAGTTCCCTCCCCTGTTTCAGAGGGGCTTTGGGGATATCAGCTCCCGTGTCCCCGGAGAGGACGGGGATGTCACCACCCGACTGTCCCCGCAGGTCCCGTTCCTGCAGGTGAAGGGGCCGCTGCTGGTGGTGCAGCTGCTGGAGACCACGTTGCTGTGCTTGGTCAACTACGCCAGGTAGGGACACGTCCCGCTCTGGTCCCCCAGGTGCTGGGGACCACGTCCATCTCTGCTATGCCAAACCCCACGTGCTGTCCCTGCCATGTCCCCAACCCTGTGTACGGTCACTGCCATGTCCCCACACCTTGGCTGTGGTCAAGCAAAGAGGGTCCTGGAGCTCCTCCACCCTTAGATGTCCACTGGCTCCACGTTCAAGCTCCTCCACCCTTGGCTCCTCCATGTTCAGCTTGGCTTGGTGTCACCCATCGCTTCCTCTCCACAGCCTGGTAGCCACCAACGCCGCCCGCTTCCGACTCCTTGCTGGCCCGGACATGAAGCTGATGGAGATCGGACTCCGTCGCGCTCAGGGGCCGGACGGTGCCCTTTCGGCCTCCAAGTACTCCTACATCGGGGGTGAGTGCTGCCCCGCGGCGCCCCACGGCACTGCGGCCACGCTGTCACCTGTGTCCCCACCCCACCATCCCTCCTCACAGGCTTTGACTGCACCAGCAACGTCCTGGCGGGGAAACTCTACGGCATCCCGGTGCGCGGCACCATCGCCCACTCCTTCATCATGTCCTTCACCTCACTGGAGGAGGTGCAGCCCCGGGTGAGCGTCACCGCAGGGAGGGGACAGGGATGGGGATGGCCCCATGGCTGTGCTCCCGGCGGCGGTGGAGGATGCCATGGGGTGCAATGCCCATGTCCCTCAAGCAGGAGGTGACACCGCTTGAAGGAGGAGAGCCAGTGGACCTCCCGGCGCTGGCCGAGTCATGGCTACAGCGGGTGTGTGAGCTGCTGCAGACGCCCCCTGAGAAGGTGAACCAGGGCGAGCTGGCCGCCTTCGTGTCCTACGCCATCACCTTCCCACAGCTCTTCCAGGGGCTGCTGGACACCTACTGCGTCAGGAGGTGAGGACACCGGCTTCCCCTGGGATAACTTTACCACCGTGGCAGAGGGGACGGCTGCGTCCCTCCTTGCTTGGTGGCCTTCAAGGAGGGACATTTCCACCTGGCAGCGTCCCAGTGCTTCGTTGTTGCCGCATGCAGGGCTTGGACCCGCTGCTGGATCTGCTCTGGGTCCCTGTCCCGCCAGGCAAAGGGACACTTAAACCGTCTCCTTGCCCGTCCCAGGAGCGGCTTGCCAAATTTCTGCGCCGTGGCGCTGGCCCTGCACCAGTTGGGCTACCGGGCCATCGGGGTGCGCCTGGACAGCGGGGACCTGGCCCAGCAGTCCAAGGAGATCCGCCGAGTGCTCCGAACCTGCGGTGCTCAGTGAGTTTCCGCCGCTGAGCCTGGGTCGGCTGCCATCACTCCTCGGCTTCCCCACCTTGGCCACCCCCTCCTGCCAGCGCGGGCGCCCTCGCTGCTCAGTGGGGGTGCTGCAAAGCAGAGCCGGGGGGGGGTGTCACCACCCCAAACCCTGCGTCACTTCCCCTGCCCTTCGCCAGCTTCCAGGTGCCGTGGTTTGAGACCATCCCCATCGCTGTCAGCAATGACATCAGCGAGCATAGCCTGGAGGAGTTCAGCCGGGAGGTGAGGGAGCTGCTGTCGGGGCTGGGACGTCCCCTTGGCTTTCACTGGCGCCGCTGAGGTTTGGGTTGCGTGGGGTGGTCCCGAGTATCACCTGGGACTTTCTCCCTGGGGGAGGATGGAGAAGAGTTGCTGGGCTTCTGGGTGGGATGGATGGACAGACAGACACCAGGAACCTTCAGGTGGAGCATCCTCCGATGTGTCCCGTGGCTCTGGTCTTGGCATGGGCTTAAAAACTTGTGGCAGGGGTGGGCTGTTGATGGCTGCTGTCTTCTCTGCTGCACCAGGGGAGCGAGATTGACATGATCGGGGTGGGGACGAACCTGGTGACGTGTCCCCTGCAGCCGTCGCTGGGCTGTGTTTACAAGGTAAGGGTGGCAGCTCTCTGCCCTGTGTGGCTCGTGGTGGGTGTGGGACTCCCTGGTTTCTCCCCGGCTTGTCACAGCTGGGGACAGGTAGCAACGGGGGCTCTGGCCCTAAGGGACACTGCTCTGAGGCCAATGTCATCAAATCCCAGAATGGTTTGGGTTGGAAGGGACCTTTAAAGGCCATCTGGTCCAACCACCTGCCATGAGCAGGGACATCTTCAACTAGACCAGGTTGCTCAGAGCGCCATCCGACCTGGCTTTGAACACCTCCAGGGATGGGGCAGCCACAGCTTCTCTGGGCAACCTGCGCCAGGGGCTCACCACCCTCAGTCAACAATTTCTTCTGAATATCTATTCTAAATCTCCCCTCTTTCAGCGTCCAACCGTTCCCCCTCGTCCCATGGCTCCCCTCCCTGATC